TTCATGTAGTTTTTCAAGCCTTGGTTGATGCCATAGTACGAGAGGCGCTCCGACACTTCCATGAGGAGGATGAAGCCGCACACTTGGAAGAGGACGCTCTTGTACTGCTTGCGGTTGTCCCATACCGAGACGTGGACGCTGGACGGGCTCTTGATCGCTGCAAAGTCGGCCATGGCGCAAATGCAAGAATGAGAAATCACAACCGGTGGAAGAGTTGAAGAGGCGGCCCGCGGGACGAACGCAGCTGGTGCGACGAAGAGGCTTGCTCGGATCTGAGATTAGAAATCGGTGGCCCAGCGTCAATCATGGTGGCTGTACCAGATGATGATGTTCTTCGTCTTCGCTGTTCGCATACATTATGGTGGCGGCACGGCTGTTTGCCGCTATGACGTGGCAAGCTCCCAGCGCGAATCAGGCGCCCGGCGCAGTGTATCGAAGTCGCGTGAAAATGTGCAGAAACAACCCGGCACTCTACGGTTGCAGAGAACCCGAGCGTCCCAAAGAATATTAACTCCTTGCTTGCCGCCAGAGTATCAACACGTTTGTCCTTGTCGCATCAGGGCAATGTCGCTGATCGCATCAAACGACAGAAAAGGCGCTGGAGCTGGAAACGGCTCCTGTGTGCTGTGTGAACATGAGCACAGAAGGCCTCGGACCGTCCAGCATTGAGCGCCTCAATGTCGTGCACGATCACGATAATTAGTTGCGTCAAGCACTGCCCGCACGACTATTTTATGAACAAAAGTTGTTTTGCAGATAGAAGTGGTGAAATGGCTCGGGGCGAACTCGGATATAGCCCAGCGAGCTCAACTTGCTGGGCATGCATGCACAGGGCTGCATACAGGAATAGCTATAACGTATAGCTTTTATGTACCCTGTGCAGTACGTACTAGCGCAACGCGGTTGGTCGACGCTGTACGCGACCTCACCAAGGCGCGATTCGTGCAAATGCGTCGGCCACGTACTCGTCGACGGGACGCAAAAGTCGAGGCCAATCCCGCCGAGCCCAAACTCCGTCGCGAAGCCTCGTAGGAGCTCAAGCAACGACGACCTCGACGGCAGATCCAGCGCGCATACCATCGCTGATTGCACCCACCAGCAAACATGGCAAAATGGCAACTCGCGCGCCTCAACGTGGTTTCTTGTCTCCGTGGGTCCTGTACGTTGACACCATTCGATCGGACGCGAGGAGCGTGCATCATATTGACGCCAGTGAAAGTGGGAACAACAACCCGGATAGCTGTGCAGATCGAGTGTGCCGTTGAAATGTTACGTTCTGACTCAAGTGGTGCAGTCGCTCGAGCTGCTTGAGCTTTGGCTTGTCAAGATCTGCGCCGCGCTCGAGACTGCAAATACCACGAAAGATGCCAACGAGTCGCGCTGGGAGCCATGTCGTGAGCAGCCGTGGTTCTGGCGTTCAAACATGTGTGCGGTGCGTTGGTGTTGTACGCGCAGGCGCGCACCCATGTCGTACCCAGAATGACGTGGCGAGCGAACGTGACGACGCGAACGAGTGTTTCACTCGCCATCCTCGCAGTCGAATGCACAGGGCGGAAGGAACCGCTATATTCAGGACCTCATTGATGGCCCAACGCGGTCGGCTTGCACGGGGTGATCGCAGTGATAGCTCGTCGACGTAATGCTTTTCGTTCTTGAAGATGCAAGCTGGTGCGATCCCATTCGCTCATCAACGCCTATCATACTTGCCGATCCATTCTCGAGATGCACGCCGCCTGTCTTTTTTGGTAAATATTGTCAAAATCGGTGTTAAATATTGTCAAAACGATAGAGCACGTCGTACACGTCATTTGGCAATGCGCCATCGTATGTGAGGATACCACCCATCGACCCGCTCGTGTGTTGCTGTGAAGTGAAAGACGGTATTGTCGTCGCTAGCGTTGCGTCAACTGTCGCTAATACCGTCGACACGACAAGCACACACACGCTCAACGACTGGCGCTGGCCACACGTTGAAATTGCACTTGTGAAATATTGTCAAAACGCTGGCGCCAAGGACGTTAAATATTGTCATGACCGATCAGAACTGATAGGCCCAGATCCTCGATTTTCGAACGCGAGGTCACAGGCCGCGCGGATATTTCGTCCCAACACGGACCAAGGGATCGGCGTCGACAGGCGGGAATGTCGTTGAACCGAGGGTGTCCTTTGCCGCTGCGTCCAGCATTGGTACTACCCTTGTGGCGACGCGGGAACCAAGCATCCACGGATCGCACAAGCGAATTTACACCATGCAACGCACGCTGAGTAAGCTCGCGACGCGCCGCTACTCGACGCAGTGGCGGTCGTTTAGCGCCCTCCACCCGTCGCTCAAGCAGAATGACTTGACGTCCATTACGCTCCATGTGACCAACCACCCGGGGTCGCTGCGCCCGGTCCTCGATATGTTTGCCAAGCACCGCGTGAACCTCACGCACATTACGTCGCAGCCGACTACGTCGATTGAGCCCAACAACGACTATGCGATTTCGATCGATTTTCAAGGCAAACCCGGCACGGCCGGCATCGACAACCTCCTGCGCGAGCTCGAGGCGCACTGCGCATCGCTGACGCTCGCCCATGACAAGACGGGTACTTGTGTATGTTTTGGATGGACACAAATGTCTAAAGATGGTATACCTGTCTAGTGCCCTGGTTTCCGCTGCACATTAGCGACCTCGACATTGCGGCCCGCCATACGCTCCAAGCCGGCACCGACATTGACGCCGACCACCCTGGGTTTAGCGACCAAGTGTACCGTGCCCGTCGCAACGAGCTCAGCGAGATCGCGGCCAACTACCGACAGGGACAGCCGCTGCCGCACATTCACTACTCGGAGCTCGAGGTACGATCCAAATGATATAGATAGACGCATGGTCTATACCCATTTCAATACTGTAGACGCAGACGTGGGGGGCGGTCTACAACCGCATCAAGGACACGTGGGCGCAGTTTGCGTGCGACGAGTTCAACAACGCGCTCCCGATGCTCGAGCGCGAGTGTGGGTACAGCCCGACCAACATCCCGCAGGCCCACGACATTTCCACCTTTTTGAAAGCGCGGACCGGTGCGTTGCTTTGTATCAAGTTGAGACTGAGGCGCGATTAGGGTTTGTGATCCATCCGGTCACGGGGTACCTCTCGCCGCGCGATTTTCTGAACGGCCTCGCATTCCGAGTCTTCTTTTGCACGCAGTACATCCGGCACCACTCGCAGCCGCTGTACACGCCGGAGCCCGACATTTGCCACGAGCTCATGGGCCACGTGCCCATGTTTGCGGACCAGGACTTCGCCGACTTTTCCCACGAAATTGGCCTCGCGTCGCTCGGTGTGTCGGACGACGAGATCGAGCGCCTCGCCGCGTGCTACATTTTTTCGGTCGAGTTTGGCATCTACCTCCAGAACGGGCAGAAAAAGGTGTCCAAATGTGATATTTTGCATCATTTTGCTCACATTTTCACAAATTAGGCGTTTGGCGCTGGCATGCTCTCAAGCTTTGGGGAGCTCG